TACTTTGAAAGCTCCTGGTGGAAGAATGCAGTTAATAAACCAAAGGGAGAAAAATAGAAATGTGCTAAGAATTAATAAATATTTGTGAATCATTAACTTAAAATCATATGGGATTTTCATTCCATTTATTTAAATTAACTTTTTATATTGGATAATTTTTACATGTTTATCTTCTGCGAATGCATTTTGTAGATATATGGAGTATGCCATCACTACATCTCCATCCACTTTTGATGAAAGAAATATAATTGAAGATGTGGCAGAATCTGAAGTTGGCCGGTACATAGTTAAGGATTTTTTGGTCAACAATTGGCAAGCTGTGAATGAAAGGTAAGAAGGAAGTGTGAGGCCTCTCTTTCGTTTAGGTCATGGCTTTGGTGCTAGAAGTTCAGCTTCAGTCTGTCTAGGTCACAGAAGTCCCTTGCACTGACTGGGAAAGGGATGATTTTTTGCGCATTTAGCCTCACCACAAACTGGCTATATTATGGAAGAGGAGCTCACTTATTCCCAGTTTTGGCTTTCTGTATGAAAATGGATTTGCATGGGGCAGTTTTATACCACAATTTCCCCACTGTGCCCACTAAGAAGTTTGCCTTCAGAAACACATTTTAGAGCAAGCCACGTTTTGGGTATGATTGTACATCATCATTCATTTATTTTGTGACGTTCATCACCATATCTTTAAGACGCGACAGTGCTCATTATTGCCTGGATGTTGCTCTTGTCTTTTGTCATCTTCTTGGGAGACTCGAATGTGGGCAAAACATCCTTCCTACACCTGCTGCCCAGAACATCTTCCCCACTGGGCTGACAGCTACCCCGTCAGAGGAAGGGAGGCTCAGAGAGGTGAAGTGACTTGCCTGAAGTCACACAGCAGTACAGAGGCAGAGGCTGGACAATTTAACAGCCCAGTCAGTCATCTCTGAAGCCAGCTCCCCTTCCACCTCCTAGTCTGCCTGTCTACCCTGCTGTCTGGTTGAAGGGGGAAGGTGCATGAAATAATTAGGAAATTAAAAAAAGTACATTCCCTTTCTATATCTGGGTTCCATATTTTTGAACTTTTAAAATATTTCTCACATTTAAGATTAAATCCGCTTGCTTCCTAGCCCATCTATTGGGTAAAATATACATTGACATCAAATATCAGATAGCATGCCCTCGATGGTTTGTCCTTTAAGGACATTATTTAACCATACATTCCTAATAGTCACATACTGTAGAGTTAGCAGACACAAAGTAGCCAGTAGTTCAGATCCAGGCACCTGTAAAGTTGGGAGATGCTTTTAGTAAATAAGGTTATTTGAAACAGAAAGTATATTTAGAATAAAAATGTTTAAGAATATGAATATGGTTCTCTTAAAGTAAAATAATGAATGGGGTGTTTTTTGGGGTGTGTGTGTGAATGTTTATTGAACACTTTTACAACACCAAAAACTGTGGCTTAAATCAGAAATTAAAAACGTGTAGATTAAATCTGTTTTGCACAGACCATTTTTATGGCTCATCAGTGGTACACACATAGCCTGCTCACATACTGAGAAAATTGTCTTTATCTCCTGTTTCAAATTATCATTTAGATTCATTGCTTCAGAGGGCCTTATGAATTCCTTAACTTTTCTGGGATCCCTAACACCTTGGGGGTAAATGGTGTTTCCATTTTTGCTTAAATCATTAAAGATAATCCCTTCCTTCCTAGGTCCAACTCCTCACTGGGAATTTGGGAGTTGGGCTATACATCAGAATTATTTACAGAGGCCCCCTTGTTCTATTTGGTTTCAGAGATTCCAGCCTCCTAGAGTTTATCTGTTAGCTTCGGTTCCCTCTCCCTGGAGCTTGTAAGAAAAGTTCATCCCCATGCTCACTCTAGCTCTGACATGCCTGGCTTTGCCAGGTCTGTAAAGCCGTCTGCCTGGCCTCTTGCTGTTGCAGTCATATTGCCCAAGGTCATTCACTTCTACAACAGTCCTTGACTGTTTTCTTTCAGAGCTTCCTGCTGAACAACCTAGTAGCAATTTTGGAATTAAAATGTTGAGAGAGCAGCTCCTTGAAGAAATACAGTCCTGATTTTCCTGAGGGCCAAACTTGTTGTAATCACCATAGCCTGTCACATCCTTCATTTCTCCTAACTCACTGATGAGCCCTGAAGGAAACAGGTTCACGTCCAGGCTTAGGATTTAGTAGTGCCTGGCATTTGGTGTGCACTTGTAAGTGTTAAGGGTTGGGTGTATATTATTGTTGTGGCTCAGGTGACATGGTGTCTGTCAGCCACAGACCATATGCACCATCAGCAGAAACCAAACACTTCTAATGGGGCAGAGCCTGAGAATCACCTGGAGTGGCTAAGCAACCAAAAGACACCCAAGCTCACCAATCCCTTTAAATTCAGAATCTGCCAGAATAGGGCAGGAAATCCGCACCTTCCACTAGCTCCCTGGGTGACTCTGGTATAGTTTAACATGGAACCAATTGATTACCAGATTAAAAAATTATCTAAGGCTGCATTGCTCAACATGATAGCCATGAGCGAACATGTAAATATTTAAATTTAAATGAATTAAAGTTAAATAAAATTTAAAATTCCATTCCTCAGTTGCACTACCTTGTTTTAAGTGGTCACTGTGGCCAGTAGCTACCATAGTAGACAGCTCAAATATTGAATATTTCCATCATTGCAGACAGTTCAGCTGGATGGTGTTGCTTGCTGTGGTAAACCAGCCTTCATTTCAGTTTTTCCTCTCTTCATATACCATACACAGCATATGTGCCAGTTAAGCCCCCCAAATAGCTCTGAGCAACTCATGGGAAACATTGCTGTCAATTGAAGGGACTTTAAGTGGGTTTTAATTTTTATTCCTCAAAGAGAACAGGAACATGTTGGCAAAACTATCTGCAAAGTCCATTGTCTAGCAATTTATTTAAATGATCTACATAGCTGTATTAAATTAGAGATGGAATTTTTTCTAAAAACTCTAAATGGGCCTTATCCTTATCCCCAAGAAGTTCCTAGAATTATAAATGCATGAACTTTTAACCATGGCTTGAATATTTTTCTTTTGTGAACAAAATGCTATGCTCCTAAAATAGATGCCTATTCTATTTATGGGGAATTCATCTCAGTTCACTCTTACACATTAATGTCTGGTACAAAAAAGGCTTTCAGATTCAAATAAATGTGCTTTCTACATCTAATACATTTATTTTTAGGGTTCAGTTTATATTCACCACTCTTGCTCGAAATTTTGTAAATGATTTTGTTTAAGTAGATAGTAATAATATTTATGGATTATTAGAAGGAAATAAATAACAATTTAAAAAATTAATAATTAAAATGTGATATACACTAAACATGGCACAGGAATCTTTAAACATCAGAATTTTTAATTATCATTTATTAAAGTTACATTTGACATGAATATGTATATTTTATTAATCTTCTTATCATGATAGAGTATAAAAGTATAAGTAAACAAATGCTTATGACAAATTTTTTATTAATAATGTGGGACAGGTTTATTCTGAATTTGCTGAGCTGTAACTGACCACTTGCAAGTTGGTACTGAAATTAGTGTTTCTCCAGTGTGTTCCACTGAGCATTATCAATGGAAGATGTTGATAAGCCCTCTGTTAACAAGGAAGACAGTAGCCCAATCAGTTTGGAAACTGTCTGTTTTAACCTCCACTTTTGCAAATTCACAGTATATGTTAGCATTGTAAAGGCTCCAAGAAGCCCTGTAGAAGGAAATCTAGAGTTTCCCACATATTTTGCCTAGCATCTTACAGCTGTAATCCTGCTACATACTGTATATGCTAATGTACACAAAGTGTTATTTTGCCAGTAGATCAGTTGTACCTGGAGAAAGACAGAAAAGGAAGTTCTTCAACCCAATCATCTGGAATTGTAACTAGAACAACATCTATTTGTTGTTTGCCTCTTAGCATTTACGCGTTGGTTTCTTCGTCTATAAAATGAAAGGCATGTATTTGATCAATTCTAAGGTTCTTTCTAATAATAACATGTTTTGGTTTTTCTATGCCAGGGCACGATTAGTTCAAGCTGCTGTCAAGGATATAAACTGATTAGGGTGTAGTGCCTGATAGGTGCTGTAGAGGAAAGATGGAGAGGGCTTTGGGGATTCAAAGGGAAGAAAGGGACTGTGGAAAAAGTCGCCTTCCACATGGAAGGACTGGAAGACTGAGTTGGTACTGGTCACCTTCACTGGCGGGAGCTGAGGGCACTGGGGAGGTGGAGGAGGTAGGGCTGGCCAAGTGTTAGAGCCGAGGACACTGCCAGTAGCGTTTCTGGAGCATCTGCCCCCCTCAACCAGGCCCAGAATTCTCCTCAGGAAGCCTAATCTAAAAATCTATTTTAGAATATTTGATTGAATAAAGCACCTTCGACTTGGTCCTGCCCGCTCACTCCCATGTGCAGGCCCTGCACTGGTTGCTGTGGGATAATTAGTTAACCCCCCAAAGAAGATCTTTTGAGTACTGACCCAAAAGAAGGAACCTCCACTGACTATAAGGACATCTTTCAGGTTACAGGAAAATCAATATACTTGTGTATACACGTATATCAGTTGTAGATAGATTTTATGGAAGAATGTGTGAATAGAGATGGAGTAATAGGATTTTTGTGATTTGTTATTGGCTCTTGTCTTTATGTTAATTAGAATATATTTGACTACTAGTGGGATAAACTATTCGTACTGTAAATATTTTTGTTCAGTAATATTTAGAAGGGATTGCTCTCACAACGAGAGTGACTGAAAAATCTCTCATCTTGAATGAAGCCTATGAAAACAGGAAGAAATTAAGTGTGCCAGGTACTCTGATAGGTGCGTCAACATACATTATCTCATTTAATCTCAGAGCAATGCTTCTAACTCTATGTTATTCCCCACTTTTACAAATTATAAGTTGCCCAAGGTAACGTCATACTGAGCCCTGCCTCTTGGGGTAAACTTTTTCCTGGATCTGTTAGAAAATCACACATTTAGCACCCTAGGTAGTTTTCCTCTGTTTTCTACTTTTCTACTTTTTTTAAAAAATTAAGGTTGGAACTCAGTTTCTTGGTAAATTTTGCCAAGTTTCTTGAGTCATCTCACAGGCTTTTTATATCTGGCCAATAAAACCGGAGCACTATGAAATATTTCCACTTTCCTCATAGAAACAAGTTTGCTTGCCTGACTTATATGTAGACTGTCTTCATTTTGTTCATGCGGACACAGTTTACGTTATAGCTGGGAACTTAAGAACAAAAGCACTGTCTTTTTCTTTGTGTATCATGCCAATCTTAACTCTTGCAATTTTTAATTTCAAGTATATATTTCTGAAGTAAATCAATTGTGTGTATTAACTATTCAGGCAGTTCAGCCATTTCTTGTTCAATCCATTATATTAACCCTATTTTAATTTTCTTTCTTTTTTAATGCATCAGTCTTTATTTACATTTTTAACCACACCACCACTCTGGGTAGGTATGTATCTGCTCTTTCTCCATAGCAAAACTTCATGGCTGTTTAAAAGATGATTCTCATTGGGTGTTCAAGGACATTAAACTAAAGAGGAAGTTTCAATGACCTGTTTGAGGGCGTATGAATAGAGCCAGGTACTTAGCCTTGAGTGATCACCAACATTTGGAGACTCTCAGAAGATATGGATCCTCTCTCCAAAAAGTGTATACAAATACAAAGTTTTAAATAAGCTTTCAGGGTATTTTAGTTAGAGTTTCTGAAACTGATCTCATTTTAACTACTATTTTTTAAGGGGCATAATTTGCATATTTACTTACACTCATAAATTTTCTTAATTTGAGGTATGTGACATTTAACCACCGCATTTAAAAAGATAAAAACAGTTGTCATTGTTATTGTTTTTAAGAAGTACTCTTTACACTTAAGTAAGCTTTAAAAGCTACATGTTACACAAATGAGTATTGAACTATAAATATTTTTTAGTGCTAATAGAATTTTCCTAATAGTGCTAATAGATTTTCTATTAAAAGATGAAGGTAAACTAATTCATACATGTTTTCTCTTAGATTTGGGAAATAAGAATTAAAAGGGGCTGTATACTTAGCATTTATTTGGCATACAAAATGTAACGAATTTTGCCATGTGTAATGCTCACCAAATATTTTTGGCCCAAACTTTCAGGGAAAAAAATCTTTCATTTTAATTCAAATTTGTATTTGTTTACATTTAGGTACGTGTTTTTTTGTATTTATAAAGGAATTATATTTTGAATTTATAAAGGAATTTTAGCATTTATTTTTTAACATAATATGGTACAAGAAATTTTATGTAACAAATCATTACAAAACACAAGAACAGATACAAGGTACAAGAAATTTTATGTACTGGTAACAAATGTACGATATTTACACATCATAGAAGGCCAAGAACTCTTCGTCTTTGCAAGTTCGTCCTAAGTTCAACAAAAACGGATTATCGCATTCCTAGGTATTATTTGCATACAGATATCATTATTGATTTCTAGAGTTACACTTTTAACTCATAAGCACAAATAAAAGAATTAAAAACATTTATATAGATACAGAATTGGTACTACCCATGTATGATGTGCATCCTTATTTTTCCCTTACAGATTTGGGGAAAAAAAGTGCATTATATGAGTATAGGGCAAAATATGGTAGCTTTGTCTTGGAAAACATTTCCCAACCCTGATGAGCATCTTGTTGCTTTGTAGGTATGGACCACAATCATTGATTATTCTGATGTATATAATAGGGAGAACCATAAGTACAGATTTACAGATCATGGAGGTAAGTACTTTAGATATTGTGAATTATAATAATAATTTGGAAGCCACTTTTTGTGTAATTTGGAGTTGCTATAATTAAAAAATAATATGCTTATCTGAATTACTACATTCTGTGCTCCCACTGGTGCTACTAGAACTGCATGAAGTCTTTTTTAATTCTATCTTGTTTCTGAAATGGAGACTGTCCTTGTTTATGGAGTGTTGGGCTTCACCCTTTCTGACCTAAATTACTGCAGTAGACTGGCCCTGGCTACCTGCCCCAGGCTGGGTTTGCCTCTATCCACCCTTCACATTGCTGCCAGCCACTGCCCTGCTCCCAAAGCTTCAGTAACTTATCAAAGTTTGTAGGAAATTTAAAAACCCTTTCATTAGCACACGAAGCTCTGCATGATCTGGCCCCTGCCTTACTTTCTAACTTCATTTTTGCCCATCTCACCACTGAGTATGAGAGATCAACAGAGACAGACACCTCCAAACACTTTTCCTCTGGCTGTACTCTACCACTTACAGATTTTTTGAAGTTAATCATGTTGTTTTACATTTGCTAGATTTCAGAAAAACTCTACCTTCTCTCTGGTGTGCTCTCCCTACCCCTGTCCTTGGCCAGATAATTCCTAATCATCCTGTAAGTCCCTGCTCTAACCACCTATTCTAGGGATTTTTTAATGAACTGATTTACACCCTCTCCTCCTCCATGTTCCCAAGTCATCCTATGAATATCTTTGTCATAGCTCTTACCACATGATACTATAGTCAGTGTGTAAACATGTCTACCCCATGAGGTTAAACTGAGCTCCATAAGGAATGAGACCATATTTTCATCATATCTGTATTCTGGAACCTAACTAGTCTCTGCTTTCCTCTGGGCTGACTTTCTTCTTGGTCAGGTTTTCTCCATATTGAGGCAATCCTAGCTCCAGGCTATGTGATCCTTAGTGCCCCCATTTGTAGAAGAAGAAATCCTTTCTCACCCAGCGTCAAGTTCCAGCCCTGGAGGAAGGACCCTTTTTGGTCCTGCTTGGGTCACATGTATGAATCACTGTGTCCAGGGGAAATAAAATACTCTGATTGGCCTAGCCTGGGTCATGCACCCATATTTGGACCCAAAGCCACCCAAACCACAGGCACTGAGATAGTGGAGGGGTAGTTCTGGAAGGAAAAGGGGATCTTATAACCACAAAATAAATTGAGGAGCAAAAGCAAATGTCTACAAAAAAGCCACAGACACACACAGACACAGTAAAACGAGTAAAATATAAATATAATCTCTACACACCCAGTAGCGTGGGTAAAATTAGAAAGATTTACAATACCAAATGTTGGCAATGATATAAAGCAACTGGAACTCTCTTATCCTGCTGATGGGAATGTAACATGGTACAACTACTTTGGAAAACAGGCAGAATTTTAAAATATCAATTAGACACATATGTCCAACCATTTCCACTTTTAGATTTTTACTCAAGAGAAATGAAAACCTATGTCCATACAAAGACTTGTACATGAATGTTTATATTGGGTCGTCGGGAAAGTCATGGCGTATTTTTCTATGTTTTTCAATGCAAAAATATGTCATGACTTTCCCGACGACCCAATAGTGGTTTTACTCACATAAGTTTCCAAACTGGAAACCATCTAAATGTCCATCAGTAGGTGAATGGACAAGGAAAATGTAGTATATCCACAAAATTAAATACTATCCCACAATTTTTAAAAAAAGGGACAAGTTTGTATAGCAACATGGATGAATCTCAAGATGATTGTGCTGAGTAAAAGAAACCAGACACTTTCTAGGAAATGCAAACTAATCTTCAGTTTCTCGCAAACTAATCTTTAGTGACAAAGGCAAATCAGTAGTTGCCTTGGACAGAGAGAGGGAGGCCCACAGAAGGGCATGAAGAGACTCGTATGGGTGATGGAAATGGACTGTGTCTTGATTGTGGCTTTGGCGTTACAGGTGTGTATGATGATCGAAACTCAAGTGTACACTTTATGTGGATACAGTTTATTGTACATAAATTTCATCTCAGTAAAGTTGATTACAATTTAAAAAAAAATACACAAATACAAATTAACCATGGCCTGGAACTATATTAGTAAAAAGAGAAAGGGCCTGTGTAAATAGAAAGGAAAATCAATTCCCCTGTCCCAGCAAGTAAACAAATAAATGCTTAGGTCAAATAGCCCTAAAATTTAATCCGAACAAAACAAAAAAAAAAAAGAGAGAGAAGCAGTCAGTTACATAGTTGTTGTTATGAGCCAGGGGAAGAATTGATCATTCCTGAAGGAATTATCTTTGTTTGGGTTTGACCTGCCTGTGGCTGAGCTGTCAGGGCCTGATTGATTAGGGATTCCCTGGACAAGAAAGTGAAGGGCACACCCAGAAATGCTGGAATGAAAGCTCCTAGACTCAAGACTGGGTTTGTATTGGTATTTTCTAAGTGCATCAGTTCATCCTTGTCTCTACAGAACCCAGTAAAGTTTAGTTATTGTTGTTGTTTAATGAATGAATGACGATTATATACACTTAGCAGTCTTCAAAGCTCCAAAGCTCTGTAGTCACTCATACTTTATTTTTAAAAAATGCAAAAGTGGGTTTAGCAGTGATTAAATTTTTGCAATTTTGAAAACAAGTAAATTAGCATTTATGAATATCCTTGTCAAAAACCTACTAATGCCCAGTAGTCCTCATATAATGTATTAGTTCACATGATAATACAGAAAATACTTACTGAAAAGAAAATGAAAAGAAAGCAGTTTCTATACACTCTTTGCTTCTCTTGCTCTTGTCTTTATATTCTACCCTGCTGGAGCCTGGCCTCCCTCTCAAGCATGCATGAAGCCCCACCTACAATCTGGTAGACCCTTACTCCCCTCCCACCCACTGCAGGTGCACAAACCCCTCCCCTCACACCCACTACAGGTGCACAATAATATGGGGCTGTGGGCATTTGGCTTCCACTGCCTGGCAGGTGTGGGCAGGTGTGGGAGTGGCTGGGAGGTTTATTTCTGATTCCTTAACCTACTTTTTCCTAGAGCCTTCCTTTTCTTTTACATTGTAATTAGCCTTGATAGCCCTATTACTACTCAATTTCGAGTGCATTATGGTTTTAGGTGACATTTTATGAGCTGGTCTGCGTACATTGTCATCTCACGTGTTGAGTTCTGATTCATTGACAAAGAAACAGACTTTCGGAGTACAACTAGTCAGTTGGGGTCTGGTTTGTACATAATATTGCAGCATTGTATGTTCCCATAACTGAATGCCTGACTTCACTCAATGAAGGAATTTAGCCAAGGGACAAATCCACTACTTAAATATTCTTTAAATAAAGGATAACATTTGTAAAGACACAGATGTTATGTGCCAGTTTTGAGCTTTGGAAGTTGCAAAGTTCCTTCTGAGATAAAAAATCTCGCTGTATCTCTGTCCATAAATCTTGTGTAGTAACCAGTATGCATTCAGTAAATGTTTATTGAGCACCTACTATGTGCTTGGGGAATATGGCAGTGAATAAAATAGATGACAATCCCACTTCATGGGTCTACCAGTCTGCATTTGATTCTTCTGATGTAGGTGGTCTTCACATTTTCTCAGTCACATTCTCCCCAGGGACACACAATCTAGGGGTGCACATTTCTGCCCATTCTTACTGTCATCAGCCATTTGCAAAATCATGTTGCAACTTAGCATGAGCGCTGTCTTATTAAATGAGAAGATAGATTGCCCTGACGGTCTCTTTGTCCTTCCAGCTGCAGCAGTTTTTCAGTCCCATGTTGGAGGAACACCAGAGGCTCGCAGTTTATGCCAAATTACAGACAATAAAGAACGGAAATCTGAAAAACAGAAACCGAAATTCCAGGATAGCTGCATGGCTTCGGAAAAACACATAATTTAGTGTCCACTTTCAGCATTCCCCTTGCATATTATAATGTAGCTTGCTCACAGTTTTGTATTCCAATACTTTGTGAGTCTAGAAAACCACATGTTTTGTTATTTGTATTTCAGTCACATTTACTACTCAAGAGTCCTGTTCTTCCCATGTTGTCCTGTTGGCACTGACGCTCAGTGATTGCTCAGGATTTTGCCAACACTGCTGTATTTCTGGGGAAGATTTCACTTCACGTTGGGCTATGAAACCACAGAATTTACTTTAAATGCCTTATAAAAACAAATTTACCTTAGAAAGACTTGTTTATTCTGTTGCAAAGGCCAGTGGAATATTAAATCACCGGCTAAATGAGCACATTCTTTTCTGAGGGAAATACAGATTTGCAATACTCTAGGGTTTATTTAGTTCAATATTTAAAAGAATATTGAGCAAATAACACAACAGTGTAAAAAAAAAAAAGAAAAGAAACCAGAAAAATCATATTCACTGGAAGACAGAAAAGCCAAAGAAAAGGAAGTTTTTAAAAGAAGGAACAGGCAATTTTATGAGCCATGTTAGTGCCCTCCAAGCAGGAAACATGCCGTCTCCTGCCTATTTCTCTTTTCCCACAGTGCCTAATGTATCATGCCACACTTCACTGGCTATGGAACTTATGGTGCTACAAAAAGACCCAGAATCGCAGGAGTCCCTAAAGTGCCTTTATGCTCGCTGCTGTGGAGGACAGAATGGAGAGGGAGGCTCTGCCCGGAAGCTCTTGACTGTGCGAGTTTACCTGTGGGACGAACACTCTTTCAGCCAAAGTTTATGAGCAAAAATAATGATGTCAACGGACAATAGCAATTATAGGCTAATCTTTAACACAAAGGGAGATTGTCAAATAAAGAGAAATGTGGAACTAAAAGGCTAACCCGAGCACAGTCTTTACAATTTTGCACTCAGGGGGTTAAGTCTGAAATATGATTTCATTTGGCCAAATCAAACCTACTTGTAGTTTGGACAGCTTGAAACATTTTCATCAGTCACAAAGTCTGGAGTTAGCTTCGTTTTCTTACATCTGATTCAATCAGGACCGCTAAGGCAAATCATCCTACTCTAGAGTTTGTGTATATATGATTTAATTGTTAATGTTGATTTTGTTTTTGTAGACTGGGGGTAAAACTACAGATCTCCTATCTACCTCAGAGTGATATTGTAAAGATTAAGGAATATGTCAATTAAAAGTCTTTAAATATATAACCTCAATGCAATGTGATCTAAGTTGGGTTTTTTTTTCCTATTTCTTGCAAAAGTGAATGTAGCCACAAATTAAAATGCAAAACAAACATTCCCTTTCATGTTTGCTTCACAGGAGATGCTCCCTGAGTGGGAGTGGGAGGCTGAGAGTTGGCCCTGAGGACAAACCAAAGCCCAGGCTACTCAAACTTGACCATGGCATAGGTCACAAAGCTTTTTCTTTAAATTGAGAAATTTTAAATTTAAGCAATGAAATACCTCCATGTCTTCAAATTGTTACATATGAGATATCTTCCCGTGTTTTCTTAAACATAAGCTTTCCGTATTTCCTGTATTTCTTCTGATCACCAGCCTCCTTTTTCAATAACCATGTTACATTTCCTCTCAAGGGCTTTTCTCTGTCTCCTCTTCCTGTCTTCCACTTCTGCCTTCTCCCTTTCTCCCTTGGGCTCCCCTGCCTTCCTTTCCCCTTTCCAGTGACCTCTGCCTGGTTGTTCGTGTTCTTGGTCTTTCTATCCTACTGTGTTCTTATTCCTCCTAGGGCAGTGGGAGGCTGACTCTTGGGGCCCGAGTGGGCTCTGGAGCCTGCCTGTTCCCGCGTGATGCCAAGCACTGCCTGATCCGACCAAGAAGCACATAGGCAGAGCTCTC